GTGGGGGTTGCGGTGACTGTTCTTCTCGGCCGCCCCTTCCTCCGCCACTTGCAGCCGGGCCCCTGGTTCAGCCCTCGCCCTTCTCCACCAGCTGCCCGGGGTGGGCTGCGGGGCCGGGGAGAGGCTCTGACCCGTCTCCGGGGACCTCGCTGCTGTCGCAGACAGCTCTGCTCTACAGAGACGCACAGAGCAGCGGGGCTGGAGGGACCCGCACAGGTCACATCTAGTCCAACCCCTGCCTGAGTCAGGACCAGCCGTATCCAAGCCATCCTGGACAGACACATAATCTAAACTCTGCATAAGATTAAGGTCAACCTTGATACAACACAGACCTAACACCCTGTCCGGCTTTACCAGTGGCAGGAGGACCAGGCAGCCAAGGTCCTGCTTCTATGAAATTTTGTCCGTATATATACCCAAGAGATCAGGGAAGAGGCCAACCCCTGCTGTAGAGGAAGGCAAGCCCCCCAGCGGGCACCAGCTGACCATTGGGGCAAAATTCTTTCCTGACTTGAAATATTGTGATAGGTCTGACTCCGTGGAGGGGCAGGACCCTTTAGCCAAAAAACTGGCTGTTGTTCCAGCAGGAGCATTGGCACAGACCAGTCAAAGGTCCCCAGCCTTTGCCAACACTCAGTGCCTCTGAGTAAGGTGAACAAACAGGGACATCTGTAGCAGAAGGACAGGGGCAGGTTGGTGGGGACAGCCAGCAAAGCCCAGAAGAATGGGAATTGCCCATAGTAGACCATAGTTTTATATCCCACGCATATGCATACGTAATGATACATGCATGTATAACTTGTATATAAATAATGTAGGAGTGATGTAGTAGCCATAATCCAGAAATTATGAGGGGCAAGTATTTGTTAGGGTGATCTCTTTTATCAGACCAACTATGTTGTTAGGATGAAGTTAGATAAGCTTTCAAATGTAAGGCATGCTTCCTCAGGGACCTCACATTCAAAAGCTTGACTAACTTTACCCCAGCAATATATTTGGTCCAATAAAAGATACCAGTCTAAGAAATCCGTGCCTCTCACATATGTTATAAATCATAGTTATTTTCATGGGCTTGTAGAGATTGAAGAGACCCAAGTGCATAGCAGCTACTTGTCCATAGTTGGTATATGTTGGTGCAATCTAGATTACGCACCTAGTCCTGCAGTCTGTTAGCCCAGGGGAAAGGGTGTAAAAATGTTTTAACCTGAGGCTATGCAGAAAAAAGAAAACAATCCTTCACATGGTAACCACATTGGTACAGCTGTAAGGTGGCAAGACATCCTTAGGCAATGATTTAGCAAGTGGTGTACAATTGCTGGAAAGGGCATATTAATATACACCCCCACACATCCCTTTTTAATACAGGATGTTGAAAACCAAACAGTAGGTTTGCAGCTGGCAAAGGGTTTTGATTGCATCCCAAATGTGCATTAAAGACCTGACAGAAGCAGTATGAGAAGAAAAAATGGTTAATCGTTTTAACATCTGTTCTTTTCTGATGTGCAATATTCCCTCTGTTCTGTCATTTATTGCTTTTAAAATATTGGCATTTTAATTGCTGGGGTTCAAAGCAGCCCTTGTCGAAAGCATTAGGCATGCAAATAACCCAAGTAACAGTCCAAGCTGCTTTAGAGTGGGGTTGCATAAGCTTTTTTTCGGTGGGTCTGAAAGCATGAATCTGAGCCTGCTGGGAGGAGGAGCATTTGCATCCCACAGGAAGTACTATGTAAGAGAAGGGGAAGGGAGTTCAGGCTTGTAGCTGCCCAGACTGCTGGACCTTTTAGGTTGTGTCGCTGAATTAAAAATCCAACCGATGCAAGCTGCTTGAGCTTACCAAAATGTGCAGTCTCATGATCCCCAGTTACAAAATTTCAGCTCCTGTTCATGTTAATAGAGGCTTAGAAAAATAACTGGCTCAGTCTCCTTCAGTCCAGGTAAGAATGCAATAATATGGAAGATATGTTAAATGTAGATGATAGTCTGCATGTTGTGCAGGGGCTGCTAAGTGAATATTATTTTTTAAAGCAGAACTGTTTGCTTTCATGAAGTGTCTGCTAATGAATAGATAGAGAAGAGGTATACTGTTTACGAGGGGACAGCCCTTTCAGGAAAACTCCTTTTTTTGGAAGGAGGATTAAAATGCTGTAGCTTGGCTCTCTTCAGCTTTATTTTCTTTAGTTTTGTTTTAAAGAAGTAAATGTCTTCCATAAAGAATATTTTGAGACTCAAATTGTTGAAGAAGCTCAACTGTGCTGGAATTTTAAATCTGATATTACAGAATTCTTTAACATAATCAAACATAAGTACTAAAATGATCTTTAAGCTTTTAAGTAGAGATTCATATAAGATGATATTAGCCTTCCTAATCACTCAGCTCATTCCATACAACTGAAAGACAACAATGTATGAGAGGTCAAGAGTTTTATTACCACAATAGCAGCACTGTTTGCATTTTCAATATGGTTTGAAATATGAACTAATTACTCTCCACAACAGTCTTGAAAGCATCACCACTAAGAGTCTGCAGATGGGGAAATTGTGGTCCATCTTTTTAAGAGAGCACCTAGATATTGGTTGCATTGGTTTGTAGGTGACCAATTGATGGGTGAGACACCTTGGGTCAAATAAATGCTAAGCAGTTGCAACTTTTACTGATTTAATTTCAAGTTGTAGCTTCAAAAGTCAAATACAGTGGTCTGTCAAGCTGGACACCCACAAAATAGGGGGAACCAAAGCCAGGAATATATATTTTTTAAATAGCCTAAGTGACTGCGCCAAGGTCAAGGAAGTTAGTATCGGAAACCAGAAACTAAACTGAGCAGGATCCGCCTTCTACAATGTCTGATCGGTAATCTGGGATATATGTTAGTAAAATTGATGCAACCTAACATGAGGTATTTTACTAAGATTGGAACAATGGTTCAATAACTTGATGCAGGCTCATCCTCTTCTAAAATTCTGTACGTTTGTTACTCAACCATGGAAAGAGATACCTGTGTTCCTCACACTGACAAATTTAACAAAAGCCTGTTCCTACTAATTTAATTTTCCATACAAATACATTGTATGCTGCTGTGCTAGAAAATCCCATCCCTGCAATTCACAGCTCTGCAACAAAATGTTCCCCCTATTATTATTATTTGTGGTATCAGAAGTCCCAGCAGACACACAGGACAGAAAACTGTCCTGAAGACTTTTTATAACCTAATCATAGCGGGATTAAGACCCCAATCTTGCTACAATCTCTGGGCAGAGAGCTCTTTTCTTCCCCCCACCCCCCAATCCTTTATTGACAGAAATCTTTTGTCTAGTGCCAGCCTGGGAGTCTGTGATAGAATTCAGAAAATAATCTGGATTTCTTGGGTTGCAGTGTAGTGCTTTGATCACAACATCATCTTTTCTTTGCATTACTGCACTTTTACTTACATCCCCATCCCTGCCTTGCCTTCAGACAAGATAGGAAAAATCTTTAAGTCAGCGGGCCACCATAAATGCTTTACTTCAGCTTGTAAAACAGACAATAACCATGCTAGAAAAAGAATAGAAAAAGAGTGCAACATTATGATGGCCTGGATCAACTGTGATTGTGGTTTAGGAGTTTTGCAATGTAGTCTAGTGGATGGTGTACTACTGGATTTGGAAGACGTGGGTTCCGTTCATAGCTTTCTAATTGACTTGTATGATTCTTGGATACATCATTTCACCTGCACTCTCTGTTTCCCTTTTCTCCCATTCCCTGTTTTGCCTATCCAGATTGTAAACCCTTTGGGTATGGTTTGTCTTGTGTAGTATGCTACCAAGTATAATTGGACCTTGGGCCATAATACAAATTAATACTGTAACAGCCTGAGAAATTTGTTTAAGATAAATATTTTTCTTTCTGACATACTGGCATAGCAACATTTTGTAGTCTTGATGAAGCCAAGGAAAATTTTACAGCTGGACAAAGGAAAAAAGACTGGACAGTTGCCAAAAATATACATTAGTCAGCTACTGAGAGGAATGTTTGCTTTATTTATCTATATATAATTTTAACAGGATCTTGGTTGCTCTGTGGGTAAATGCATGATCGTCAATTACATAATCCCCTTCATTTTCAACAGATCCAGAGACCTCACACAGCTAATATACTGGTATTTTAAGCAGGCTCTTCCTATTAGACAAACCAAAAATCCAATCCAAACTGGCATCAATGAGGTAAGTATGTTGTTTTTAGAGTAAAAGAATGCCTTTATTCAAATGGTGTCACACTGAGATTTTTAAAACTGTTCTATATATTGGGGAACTAAGTGATTGCATATGTTGACTCGAGTGTAGCTATCTTGACAATAAAAGAAGTAGAGTAAATGAACGTGACACATCATTTTTTTTTAATTTACCTAGGATACCTGTGTGGGAAAGAATGGTCTCTGTGTACTTGCTTTATGAGGGAGATGCATCTAAGATAATGTTAAGGAGTTAATAGCGATTGCTTCTAAAACAGATTAGGATATAATTGATCAAAACACTTATCCTAAGTTAACGTGCAGAAAATTTTGCCAAGATCTTATAGCCACATCATACATTTCAATGTTGAAACTAAAGTTGTATCAGCAAAGTCATTTTACATATCAGATGATCCTGGTTTAGGGCTGATCAGTGTATATACTGATATACAACAATGATAGCTAATATCTTTGGGGTTTCTTACTTCTGTACACATTATTTTGTTTGAAGAACGTACTAATTACAAAATTGTGCTTTAAGATGATTTTCAATTGTCTGTTCAAGGCAGATCATTAAAACTATGCAGTAATCAGAAAAGAAAAATTAAAAAAGACAAGCTACAAAGGCACACTGGAATACTACATATTTCAGTAAACAAAATAAAACCAAATCTCAGGTATTCCAAGATGGGTCAGATTTAATAAGGCATAAAACTTTCTTTGGCTACTTTTGGCCAGTATCTGCTTCTGCGTATTCAGTTTAGAATGTCCAGAAAGCCAACTAAGTGCCATGAATCATTCTTAGAATATTGTTTTAAAACAATTTAGAATAGCAGTTGGGATTCCCCTCTATTACAGCAGTCAGATTGACATATTAAATACATTTAGGCAGGAGCCCATTACTATATGCTGGATCTAGGTTTTGAATTAAAGTTCTCTCTTTGTTTTGGTGCAGCAGCACTGGATTGTACAATAAACTGACTTTCCATGCAGTATAAAATAAATGGAAGAACACTGAACCATGGGTGTTGTTGTTTAAATCTAATTAAACATTTCAATAGCCTGCTAAATAGAATAATAGAATACAGAGATGGAAAAGAGCTATTTGAGCATCTCCTATATCTTTCTTCCAATTCAAAAGTTATAACACACTTGCTTGTATGTAGTCCAAATGTGTTGGACAGTCATTCTCATGCTTTGCCACTTTACCATCTCTCAGACTGACTCTGGTATCAAAAGATAATGCAGTTCCTGTCAAGTTTATAGCTTCCTTCTCGTAAGCATTCTTGAAAATGTTCTCAATCTGTCCATGGTAGAGAACTTTCTTGGCCAGCTTCATAGCTGTGTCCTTGCACATTCTTGGCTCAGTGTACCACAAGGATGAGAGGCTCTGCATCTCAAATGGTCATCTCAGTTTGGAGCAGTTTAATTAAGCTTGTCTAGAGCAATGCTGTAACTACTGCATTAATGAGCAGAGGTCTCTGGAGCAGTTAATCCAGCACTTTTCATGAGCATGAGCTTCTTAAAAAAACAAACTATATAAACAGGTGTAGACAACAGCTGTTCAGGTCAAGCACTACCATTTACTGTACACTTGTAAGGAATCTAGCAAAACGGACCCCAACTGGATTGGTCTCTAGCAATTACCAAAACATATGTAGTAAGTGATGCAAAGAGGACGTGGTGAGAACAGGGGAGTTGTGGGCTGGATGCCCTGCAGTGATAGTTCTTAACTCTGTTTTCCCTCACTATCTGTAAACACCTGTCTCAGCAAAATTACCTGGCATGAGGGTCAAAGTAGCTATATTTGGACTTTAGGACAGCTACTTGCTACCACAGTGGTTGATTCTTAGGCATTTGTACCAGCTTTAGATCTTTCAGTTAGGTCATCAGGGTACCTCATACTTTGGAAAACGGCCCTTTTTGAATCCATATTACACCATGTGTTGTTTTTCAGTGGGTGGCTTGTGGATTAACTCACCATAATCCCAGCAAGAATGCATTTCTGGAACATTTTAGAGAAGATGAGAAAATGTTTTTTTGCTTTACATGATGATTAAAATAACATTTTAATGAGCTCCTTAAACTTTGCTGGCAAACTTTTGCTGACAAGGATGTTTATTAATTACTTGTACTGCAGTAGCACCTGGAGTTCCCAAACCAGATTGCGGGTCCATTGAGGTAGACACTGTACAAATATGAACAGTTCATACCCCCAAAAACTTGCCAACTAAACAGGAAAGATGCTTTAAGGGTGAGAAGAAAATGAGGAAGCACAGAGAGGGCAAATGATTTATCCAAGGTTATACCACAAGTAAGTGGAAAGATCAAGAACAGAACACTGCTCTCATGCATGTCAGTCTGTGTCCTAGCCACTTGTGGTAATAGTTTATTTACAGCTTTTGCTAAACAGATATTGTAGGATTAATAATAAACATATATATTGTATAATAATAACATTACATGTTTTGTGCTTATTGGTAAATACAATAAAATTACACTCTACTAATTTAAACAAAAGTAAAAACAAACATAATATATGATGATAAATAAAGCAATATCAAATAGTAAAATTAAAAACAGGGAATTCTGTTTGAGTTTGGCCTTTATACTTTGTGCAAATAGTGTAAATATACATATGAATTGTAGGATAGGCTGTACATTGTGAAGAGAGGAGGTCCCAGCCACTAGACAATGTTGGGCTCAGGATAAATCTAAGAAATAATACTAAATTTAGGTTTTACTATATCTGCCCTATGGATTTTAGTTTTGTTTGGTAATGGGTGTCAACGGTAACTTTTTCCTCACTGCTTCTGTAACTGGTTTTAAGGTTGGTTGCCATGTGGAACTGGATAATGCACTTCTAGGAATAATTTCTTTAAAAACATTTGCTTTTCCTCCATCATACCTTCAATACAGTTCATCAAATTGCTGTATCCAAAGTATGTTGATTGCAATCTAAACACTGAAATAAGCAGTTCAGACAACTGTAACCAATAGGTCACAGTGTGCAAACATGATTTGGCTAATCCAGATGTGATAGGAGGGGGTTGTGCTGCTTGCCGTCTTTCAGCATTGCCATGGCCATGGTCATAGTTTCATGTTTGCGGTCATCACAGTTCAGCAGATCCCAGGTCCACCAATAAAACATCCAAGTCTGTCAATTGGAAAAGATCTATCGTTTTGCATGCAGCACTTGACAGGTGGAAGAAACGAGGTCCAGGACACTCAGGTTGTACTGGAGGAGATGGTGCTTCTTGCTATTCCATCTAATTTCCCTGCCAAGACTGAGTCTGTTTCCTTGCCAAAGGCAGAGTCCCTGCAGTTTTAACAGGGAACCTGAGGACTAGGTTTGATCTTCTGCACAGTTTGCTTTCCAACTCCAGTGACAAAGAGGTTGCTGAGATATTTCCACGTTTGCCTGTAGCATCAGAAACGTAGTTGTTAGCAGTGTAGACTAGTATATGAGAATGAGAAACTGAAAGGAACTAGTATGATCAAGTCTGAGACTATTTCATTTAGATTCACTCTCATTGCTGCAAAGAGTTAACCGAAGGTAATAGTGAAAGTAAAAAACAAATTATATAAGTATTGCCTTGACATTATAGCTTAAAGCATGTTTTAATAGTTGAAAATAATTGTACCAAACTATGAAATCCTCCTTATTTATTTACTCATTCACTTACTAAGGCAATAGCCCAAATGTCTTTTATGGGAATTTTTCATTGATGAAGTCTTCAGGATCTTATCTTTGTTAATTTTACACTGAGCTGACTTACCACATAGGTACAAAACTAATGACTTTTCCTTTTCCATTGCAATTTTTGTTAATAAAGGTGTTATCCCATCTGTAAACTTCCAGGAAGAGTTATGGGAATCCGACTACTTCATTTCTCTTCTGTGGTGATCCTTGTCTTACTCCTTGTGGCAGGTGCCTTAACGGCTTTACTTCCAAATATTAAAGATGACAAAATGCCCAATTTGCGAAGGGAGCCAAAATCCCAGAGCCAATCTGCCTTGGATTCATTTACTCTTATTATGCAGACATACAATAGAACTGACTTATTGCTCAAGCTTTTAAATCATTATCAAGCCATCCCCCACCTGCACAAAGTGATTGTTGTATGGAACAATGTTGGGGAGAAGATACCAGAGGAAACGTGGAATTCTTTAGGACCCCATCCTGTCCCTGTGGTCTTCAAAGTGCAAACTGTGAATCGCATGAGGAACAGACTCCAGATTTTCCCTGAACTGGAAACAAAAGGTAATGAGTGTCTCACTTCTGTAGCTACCATTGTTGCTAGGCTAACAATATTATTTCCACTTTTTATCACATCTGTCATTTTTTTTTATTATTCAAACCAACTGTGTATTTTATCATTACAAAATAAATCCCATGGATTGAGCGTGTCCGGAAACCAGCAGATGTTAAGCAATTCTACTGAAGAGTACAGGGAGGATGTAAAGAGCCTGCACAGTGCAGCAGGGAGTGTGGAAATCCAATTGGCTGCAGGTTTGGCACTTTCCCAGAAGCAGTGGCAATCCAGAGGTTGTGTAAGAAGTACAGCATATAGGAAGGTGGTTTTATAAATAATTGTTTTCTGGTCCAGTGGTAATGGGTTGCTCTGTTGCTTCTTTCAAGGAAAGATGAATGCAATTTAGTCTTTCACCCTAATCCAGTATTCCTCCCTTTTAAAGATGACTAAAAATCTGGTATTTAAAAAAAATCCAAATAATTTTGCTGCAATTCACTAGTAACCTCTTACCACAGGGTTGTTTGGGTTTTTTTTGGTAGAAACCCACAAGCTCCCTCCAAGACTTCTACCTTTGTCTGGCCTATATTCCAGTCTATACTAGTGTCTTTCAGTATATTTATCCTGCCTATTGACCATCTAACTAAAGACTTTCTGAGGTCTTTGCATAATAAGACCCAACAACACCGTCCTATTTCCTTCAGAGATAACAATCCATAATAGGTCACAACTCTTACCCAGTCTTATGGGGTGCAAACAGAAGTCCATCTCCCAGCTGTAACTCAAAATATTTTTGCTAAATGTTTTCAGTTACAATGTTACCCCAGACCAAACAGAAGTTCACTGTTGGTTTCAGGGCAAAGAGGGATCTAGCTGTAGGCTGAGAGCCTGCAGCCAGGTTCCCAAAGCAATGTCCAGGCTCTCTGCCAATGCTCACTGTTTTCAGAATGGAAGGGAGAAAGGCAGCAGAGGGAGCTCATTTTTGGGGCTCCCAGCTGGTGCTGAAGAGTGGGGTGGGTGAATTGGAGCCCGCCCCCTCCAACCTCAGGGGGAGCTGCATTACACCCACCCCATCCGGGGGGGGGAGGTTGAAAACCCCCCAGACTAGACTCCCTCTGCTCCCTTTTCCCCCTCCTATTCTGATAACAGGGACAGTCTGGGAGCTTGGCACACACAAGTTACAAAAGATGCTACATTTTGTAACATCTTTATCTGGTACCTCATGCAATGAGGGGCCAGATTTTCACTCAGTCAGCCATTTTTTTAAGCTGTTTGCAGCCGTTCACTTGTGTTTGGTCATTGGTGATGCGTAGGGGGTGAATGTGGGTGCACGTGCACCCCCTGAGATCGGTGGTGCACCCCCTGAAAAAAGCACCGCTGACACTGCCAATGGTGCCTGTGGGCGGTTGTCACTTGCCACCCCCCCCCTTGCTGCCGACACCTCCAGCGGTGTCTGTGGGTGGTCCCCGATCACCACCATTGGCCACCACCGACACTGCTGGCGGCGTCTGCAGGTGGTCACCGACAGCTGGTTGGCGCTCGCCATCCCCCCGCTACTTCTGACACTACCATGGCCACCTGCAGGTACTCCCCACTCTCTGCCGCCACACCTCTGCCGCCATCTGCAGGTGGTCACCATACCCCCCAGACTCCAGGGGCATGCCGTGTTCATGTGTTTGGTCATGGCTATAAACTGCTTTCTTTGGCCAGATCAGGTGAAAATTATCGCTTCTATGGGCACCCTCATCAGTCTTATTTGAAAAGGGAACACTTTTATTTCACGGTGTCTTTTGCCAGCATGCATTGCCACTCAACCTATACTTCTCAAGAAGTCTTTGTAAACTACAGTTCCCAGGCTGCTTTCCTGCTTGACAAGAGTTGTACTGATCTATGAGCTTGTCTTCAGCAAGCTACTATAAAGGAAGTTTGTTTCCTCCCTGAAGAACTGAATTACACATCTTGCTTTCTCTCCTGCATAAAGTCCACTTGCAGCTTTTAGAATTTAAAGCCAGAGGGCTTTATCCTATAGTTAGTAATAGTGAATTTTATCTATGGAATATTATAATTTAGTCTTCTTTGGTCTCAAGGGAGTGGTGTATAAATACTTATGAACTGATGTTAAAAATAGTTATCTGGAAAATTATTATAATTAAACAGACTGCACAGAATGGTATTTGATTTTTCCTTCGTTGTAGAGTTATCCTTTACACAGTATTAAAAATCTGTTAGGACTGCAGACTGGTTGGCAATTAGTGCAGATTTGTTATATTCTCTTGCCAAAAAATTGGAGATTTTCCATTGCACAGCTGTTCAGCCATGGTACAGAACTTTTAAGGCTGCAGTGGTGTTTTTGATGCACAGTGGCAATTGTGTTCTAAACTGTTTATTTGTGTCAAGGCTACAGATCCTTTTCACTGTAACTTTAACATATAAGTAAGTAGTCTTTAAAGTGCATGATGATTTAGTTGTGCATTTCATCCTAATGTTTAAAGGAGCTGCATGGAAAATTGCCGTGCATTATATAGCACCAGTAAATGCTCACATATTTGCTTTTTCATGATTTATATTTTCCTCTTTATGCTCATTAAAAAATAAAATATCTTTTCCTTTTCCCCCCTTCAGCTGTTTTAATGATGGATGATGACACACTAATTAGTGCTCATGACCTAGCCTTTGCCTTCTCTGTTTGGCAGGTAATGTTCGTCTTTTGCAGCTTGCATATGATCAGTGGGATATATATACATTTTATGAAAGGGAAATATTAATTCAATTAGTCGTTGCTCTTCCAGATAGTAATATCTATTATATAGATGAGCAGTTGCATTCTAAAAGGGGAGACACTGAATAATAGTCTTTTAATTATATAAAATTATAGACTGCATATCTAACCAATTTTTACCTTTTTCTTAAGTTTTCAAATATGTTTGAAATATGAATTAACAAATCATGCATAGCAGTAAATATGGTCGGTTTCATGCAGAAAATAAAGTGTTATTTGATTTTGGAGGCTACACATTGTGAATCAGAAGTATTTATTCTTTTCACTATACAGTGATTTTTTTTGTATATTTATTTTTGATCCCAAGCTTTCAAATGGGTATTAACTTCAGCCAGATGCTACTTTGCTCTGTATGATGTGAAGGATATTGGGTCAGTTGTAGATCATGTTTATTAACTTACAACTAGCTCCATGTTGTATAGACAAGAGGATTGTATAGGTGATAATATTTTGTATTCTTTGAATCTCCCCCCAAAAATAAATTTCTGTAATTGATAACCTCATAAGAGAGTTTCATATCAAAAGGGTTTTTTTAAAGCTATATTGATCCACAATTTAACTGTAGCAAAATTAAACTCCATACTGTTTTTTTTTATTTCCTTCTAGCAATTTCCAGATCAGATAGTGGGCTTTGTTCCTAGAAAGCACATTTCCACTCCTTCAGGTATATACAGTTACGGCAGCTTTGAATTGCAGACACCTGGATTTGGAAATGGGGATCAATACTCAATGATTTTGATAGGTGCAGCATTCTTCCACAGTGGATACCTAGAACACTTTCAAAAGGAGCTGGAAGCTGTCCACGCTTTAATAGATGAAACACAAAACTGTGATGATATTGCCATGAATTTCCTAGTGGCAAAGCACATTGGAAAGTCTTCAGGAGTATTTGTGAAGCCTGTTGACATAAGGAATTTAGAAAAGGAAACCAACAGTGGTTATTCTGGAATGTGGCACCGTGCAGAGCACTTATTACAAAGGTCTTACTGTCTAAACAAGTTGGTTAATATTTATGATGGCATGCCCTTAAAATATTCTAACATTATGGTTTCTCAGTTTGGTTTCCCTAACTATGCCAATCACAAAAATAAAATGTAAGGATGAAATGTTAAGAGAGTATGAGTTAAACATCAATTAGTGAGTTTAAGTTAGTGTAAATTAGTGTTTTGGCTGAAAGGCCTGAAGAAGCTATACATTACTTCAGCTTGGCCTCCCACACAGACAGCCTCTGAATTTTGCCCATAATACTTTTGCCCGTAACCTTTCTTTTGTTTAATTTTTCCAGAGTAAGTTGTTACAAAAGCAAAAGAACTCTATATATTTAATAATTCATTTTGATAACACAATATTCTTCCTCTGTTATTTAAAAAACTCTTACCATCCAAATTACAGAGCCAAATCTTCAAAAGTGCAGGTAGGCATGAACGTATGCTTTTTGGAGATTTTTTTGTTTTGTTTTGTTTCTTTTTAATGTAAATACCTAGTTAAATAATGTTTTGACATATGCTTGTTTTATGTGTTGAGACTTCTCAACAATTCTGGTGAAAAATGTAAAGGGCTCCAGCAAGCTGTTGTGTTAGTCTCTCTTATTAATGTTTTTAAAGTTATAGAAAAAGGAGAGTCTCAATATTAAACACATGTGGAGGCATTTTCTACAACACCTGCCAGTGCTGAGTTAGTGGAATGTTATGTTGCTGATGCAACCTTTTTCACTATTATTCCTTGGCCCACAGTTACTGGGACACCGATCAGTAGCTGAAAAGCAAATATTGTTGATGGCTAATTCAGAGAAGAACATTGAATGCTTAATGTATGAATCAAAGGAAATGTAGATAATAAATGTAAGATAATTACCATGTACAGTAGACATCCAAAACAGACTTGTGCCATATTTACTACTTAGTACAGTCTGTAGACTTTACTTCTATTTCAGTATTTTGCACATGCGTTATGTTAGAAAAATTTGCCTGAGAAAGCTACTCATGTTTTTAAGAATGTTTTCAGTACAGATATATTTTGTGTCTACCCAATTGTTTTGCATCTGATTCAGAATGTACATTTTATAAGTTTACAGGTCAAACATTATTTTAAAATATTTTAATTAAAGATGTTTGCTCCATTTATCTCCCCTTTCAAATGGCAAAGCTAACCAACTTCTGTGACAGTAGAAGATAAAATGTCATGCATCTAATGGATAAACATTAGGAGGTATGCTTCAGAGTACAATCTTGCACTGACCAGAGTTGGGTCTTTTCAACCTGTGAACTCTGTGGCCACACATGCCCTAAGTAACAAGTCAGTTTCTGAGAGTGTTTGTCAGCTTTGGATTCCTTAACAGGTATTGCAGATACTTGACTGTAATCAGGAGTGGGTTGGTAACCTACAGTCCTCAGAGGCATTTTACCCAGCCTGCAAATTTGGGGCTTCAGAGATGGGAGCTTTTTCCTGGGACTACAAGAAGAAATAGTGGTGGCTGCTGGGTCCTAGTGCCCGATCATCTGTGTGTGATCTAAGCTGGGTCATTCCAGCCCACAACCTAAAAATGTTGCAAAGTGCTCTTTTAAATGGTAAGGAAGACAGGACAAAAACCAATTTAATATAGCTACAGAGCATGTTCTCCAGCTGTGAAGGACATGAGTGGGTATAAAGGCACTATGGCTTTAAGCACTGATAAAATTGGATCACCGGACCATGGGGGATCCAAGACTCATAATTAAAAAAATGTTTAGTCTCATCTACACTAACACTTAGATCCCCCTGAACCACTACAGAGAGAGAGCTGTGGCAGACAACCACTGTCAGTTAGGAGGAATCACTTTCCTTCTGCAGATGTGATTCCATCCTTCTAGTAATATGTTAGTTGAATAACAATGATGCTTAAATAACATCACAGGCTGATTCTGGGCATTCTTTTTATGCTTGTTTTGTCGTTTGTATTATAAGGACTTGTTTTATGTACAATGCAATCTTCCTAACTTTAGGGCTTTTATAAAGTGTAGGTGGCAAAGTGTGTCTTAATGTGGAGACTTAAAGTCTGCTTACTGCTTTTGTTGTAGTGATAAAAGTAGCTTTTAATGATGACATCTGTAGTGATAACCAGTATACAGATAAATATCTGTGGTCTTTCTAACTGTGTATTTCCAATGATGCAAACCTTCTTACAGTAATTCATTGTGCAGTATTTAACTTAACAGTGCTTCTGTAATTTCTACTCTGTGCAGTATCAGCTGGAACTACCAAGACTCACAGATGGTGTTTATTTCACTTCTAAAATATAAAACATATTATTTACTCTGCCAAATCTTAGTGGATTTTTTTCTTTGTTTTGTTTACTCTGTATTGGTTCATGAATTAATAAACCTTTTATCATAGTGGTTAATTGATTTGTAGCATTGTTAATATGTTTATGTATGTTTTGAAACTATTGACAGAAGTTTAAAGTCTGTGCCCTCAAAATTTGTGTTCAGAACCAATGCACTAACAATTCTTGCCTGTTTGCTGGAAGTTGGGGTAATTTTGTGTACTATATACTCAAGACATTGTCTATTACACAAATTACACTAATGGTTTGTGAATTGGACAAACATTTGCCTTTCAAGGGAGGCAAGGTTTTTTGTACTATCTTTTATTGGATCAACTCTATGGTTGAGAGAGATGTTGGACAAGCTTTGAGGCATAAAGTACCATTCTTTAGGTCTGGGCAGCTTTTTCCAGTTTAAATCTGAAAAAGGATACTCTGGGCCTGAACTTGTCCAACATCTCTCTGTTGGTCCAATAACAGATGCCTCACATATTTCCTGGACCACCATGGCTAAACCTACTTAAGCATACATGTCAAAGGAAAATTAATTGTTAAGATTCAATTCAAGCCCTAGTTATCCTTCTGTACCTAGGAACTGAAAGTCTTTTAACTAGTTGGTGATTTTCACATACTGGTATATCTGCCATCACTCTGAATGGGCAGTAGCTTCTAGTACTATACATTGGAGTTTGACATGGATATAAGGCAGTATTTGACCATTCACATGTTATAAACAGGGCCTGGTTTAAATTGTGGGATCAACTTCTAATATTGTGTACTGATCATGGCAGGGGCTACCATTTTCACACCTAGATCATAGTACCCCTTCTCCCAATCCTCCTGATTGGCTAAGCGGGCAGGTTTAGGGCCAGGTTTAATAGTAGCAGCAGCGGCTTTGCTCCCAGTGCCTCTGATCACTGCTGAAAAGCCCATGCCCTACCACCCTCACCTCATTGGAAGAGGCAGGAACAGCAGTGGCGGTCCTCTGCCCCCATTGTTTCTGGCAGAGATTAAATTCCCTTTTCAAAAATGCTGCTCTGCTCAGCGTTGGCCATTCAGCACAGAGGGATCCTGGAGGGTACTGCTTTACCTGTCCTGGGCTGAGATGTTCTTGCCTTGATGTCTTTACTGAAGGCTGGGAGCAGCATGATTAGAGCAGGGAAGCAGGCAGGCAATGATGTCACTGCTTGAATAATGAGGCCAAAAGCCTCCTGTTTCCCTGATTGGCTGCTCTTATAGCCACGTGTGTGTGTGCTGACTTCCCGCACTCAGTTTCTCCACATGGTCAGGCTGCTACTATCCATTGAAGGTGAAAGGCTTTTTCCTGGGCTTGGAAGCTGCTGGCTGCCTTAGAAAGCACTGGTGCTGGGTAGAGGAGGGGCTCTTTGCTCTTCCACATGTGTATTCTCTGCCCTGCCCCCATCCCCCAGTTTTCCCACCCAGATGAATAAACAGCCCCTTTCCTACCCAGTTCCAGGGCTGTTTGCCAAGGCAGCCCCCAGGTGCCCCTAACCAGCCCATATTTTAGTTTTCCTGCCCAGAGGAGCAAACAGCCCTTCCCCTACCTATCCCCAAGCTCTCTCCTCCCCTGGGCTGCTATGCTTTTGCTGCTGTCTGGGAAATACTTTCATTGCAAGGAATGCCACAATGTAGTTAGTGACTTGCTGGAGTACTCCCCAGCAAGCAGCCATATCGTGGCACTTTGTTGCAACTTGCATTTTTCGTGAAAATCACTTAATTTTGTGATGTTTATGAAAAATGTGAAACTGGGATTTAAACCAGGCCCTAGCTATATGTCTTAAACATAAGAAGCAGTTTAATGTTTGTTTTAGCATTAAGTATATTTTCTGACATTTGTCACACACAGACCTCTTACCTACCACTTCTAAGGAAATTATAATATTCAATGGAGAAACGGCCCTTTTTGGACTGATGATTATGGCAAGAAGTTCAAACTTATAATTCACCAAAGGAATTTTTTTTTTTTAATTTTAAAAAAGAAAAGCTAAGCCACATGAAGTCCATCTTTTGGATAGATTCTATTCCAACTTCAAGGATGTTTCGAGGTTCTTGCTTTCGGACTGAATTGGTAGATGAACAAATCCTGAGAATTAAGGGCAGTAGACTATGGGGAAGCAGTTAATTTTAGATAAACTCTTGCCATTTAAATTTGTACTGTAACTTGCTCCTCAGGTATAAATCTTGTGGGGAAGTAAACCACCTTTGCAACTTTAACTTGAATTGTTACCTACGCTTGCAAGTAATCTATTTTAAGTCAGGTAAAAGTGAACCTGATTTCAGCCTAAGAGACTAACATGAAACAGATGCACTACCTACACCCTCGAAGTCAAAGCTGTAGAAGCAAATCAGAGCCAAATAATTTTGATTTCTTTGCATCCCAGTCTGTCCATGCTAGTAATGTAACTGGACATTACCCTAGAATATTTGAACTACGACTGCATGAGAGAGAGACTAACTCAAATGATGAAATAAATGCTTTTTGCATTCACTTACATAATACCTGAATTGTTAAATTATACAGTACATTCCTCTTGGATTCAGTAGGAAGTATATTGACTCCAGAACTTGACAAGGCTTGTTACAACAATGGGGAAATATTTTCATAGTCTTTCGCGAGAATGTCTCACAATGTGCAACTTGCATGCATGGAGAAGCCAAAGGTTTGTATATATGGTAGCAACAGCCATTCATTACTGTGTTCATTGGCATAGAAAATAGGACATGTAATCAGAGGGAAGGTGGGTTGTCAGCAAGTTTTTTGGGTTTGGTCTCAGTTTTTATGTTACCCGTCTGTGACTCCTCAAAGTTGTTAGTCCAGGGTTTAAACATGGATGTGCAGTATAATGTGCCTAAATCCCTATTTAAAAACCTTAATTTGAAACGCTGTTTATTAGGATATAGGCACCTAACTATAAGCATCCAGTTGCCAATCTTGACATGATACTGTTTCAATTTCCCCATCTCCACAAAGAAAATATTGATCTCTTTCCTTGGGGTCATATGAAAAACTATTAATTAACATGTTGAAAATTGCCATCTTGATAGAAGGTGCTTCTATGAATTTTAATAGTTTCTATTTAACAAAATAATATGTCAATGCATGTTTTCTAGTGGTATTTTCTAAACTTCACATTGGAATTGTTTTGAAACATGACAGCCCCCCACAGACATGCCCTATAGCAGGGATGTCCAAATTTGTCTGAGCTGGGGACCACATACTGCATAGGCTATGCACTTTGGGGGTGGCCCCCTGAGATCAATTCCACTGCATAGGCTACACCCACAAGCCCCCACCCACAGCACATGCGCCATGGCAGTACATGGGCTCCCTGCCCTCTGCTGCACAGTTTGTGGTACTGTTACATACCCCCTGGGCCCTTCTCTACCACACCACAGTGGGAGAGGTGGCCTCCAGGATCCATGGCCACCCAACTGGGCAGCCCTGCCCTACAAAATTTAGTAGTCACAAAAGTAGAGTATGCTGGGGGGGGGAAACCTGAAAACCAGGGTTTTTAGTGACTTATGTTTTTTATTGAATCTTCAAGCAAACCTATGAGTTTTAATGGGAGATAATCTGCCATTCAATTTGGTGAATGTGTTTAAAATTTACATAAGTAAGGATATAAATATCCTGCAAAACTTTTATGAAAAATGCTTATTTACAGAATATGGCCACAAGATGTCACTGTTACCCAGGTAATAAGACAATCAAATGCACTAAAATATTACTGTTAGAATTTGCTATCATAGACTTATAGTGGATGTTTTTGCCAAGAGGAATTGTATTAATTTTGAAAGCTAGTGTTCCACAACATCAACTCCATGAGATTACTCATACAGATTAACAAACACGATAGTGCAAGTGCAGTTGAATAGTTTACAGATTATTTGTATGTGTAAGGAAAGGGCCTTTACTGTTTGAGAAAGCTGGAGTCTTTGAGGGAATCAATCAATTTAGCCACTAAGGGGGCATGATATGCAACTAAAATAATATGTGTGGGATTGTCAAAACTCCTAGGGGGCATCCAGACAAGCGTGCATGTGCCTCTTGCCATGTCACAAACCCCTTTGAGACGCAGTAAGAGGCATGTGCAGAAATTAAAAACTGTTCCCTGCTCTGCAAACTTGCAGCACGGGGACAAAATTAGACCCCAGGTGGGGTAAAAAAAAACCTCTCCGCAGAACAGCAGGGCAAGACACAGTCCCAGACCGTGCCTGGAGCAAACACAGGAGTCAGTTTTGGCCAGAGTGTCTGTGTGGTGCTCCTGCTGCCCCCCAGTACTGTCCAAGGTAAGTTAGGGAATGGAGGTGGGGAGGTTTGTGGGTATAGGTGGGTGTGAGTTTGTGTGAGGGGTGGCAGGGGGATGTTGGGGGGGTGTTGGGAGTGGATGGGGTTCTTGGAAGCTATGGGGAATGAGAAAGGGGATAGGGAGCAGTGGGGTGGGGCATATCCCAGTGGGGGACATGGAGGGGCTCAAGCCGGGGCTGCCACACACATGCCCCCCCCGACCTGTTCCCCACGGCACCGGTGGCAGCAGGCAGCATGGCTGTGGCTCTGATGCTGGCGCAGCAGGCAGTGTCACAGTGCTGTGTGACCCAGGCTCCTACATGATGAATGGACCTGGCCTGGCCCGCTAGTGCATGGCCTTGGATGGGCTGGGCCAAGTCCATTCAGCATGTAGGAGTCCAGGTCACACAGTGCCACGTTATTGCCCACCTCTGCCTGCAGCAGAGCCACAGCCAGGCTGCCTGCTGCTGCCGGCGCCAGGGGGGCAGGCGTATGGCAGGGCTGCATGGGGTGGCAAGGCGGTGCTGGGGGGCAAGTGGCCGAAGCTGGCGGCGAGTGGTGGGACCCAGCCCAGCCCAGCACTGCGTGACTCGCTAGTTCAGCTTTGCACCAGAGCGGGTTTTGCGTCTCCTGTGCAAAGGTACACTATGTGCATGGCCTGGGCTGGATCGGGTCAGCAGGGCTCATTGGAAAATGCGCCCCACCAGCCCGATTCAGCCCCGGCCACACAGCTACTGTGCCTTTGCAAAGGAGCCACGC